TAATAAATGGGTTAATGCATCTCTGGTTGTGTTATGAAAAAAAGATTATAACATGTTAGTGATATCTTTATGAAGCTTAGGGGTGGCTTTTTAAATGTCATTGTGCCTTTTTTTTCCACAATAAGAGTCCAGTTCACGTTAAAAAAGTTTGTTTTTTAATCAAGAACCTTTTTTCTATAGCTTCATAATTAAATAYGCAAATGATTTAGGAGATGTGAATTTTAACCACTAGAAATTACACGGTTAAGTAAAATTAGAAATTTGGTTTGTACAGAAAATGAAAATGTGGTGAAAGTTCAAAATAGGAGTTACAACATAAAGATGTCTATTTTTTGTTTTAMTTTCACCATCAGTGGAAACTAATGTAAGGAGGAGTGGTTCCACTAATTCTGTCACTAAATGAAAGAGGAAAAATGAATGAAGATGTCACAGAAATTATAAAACATTATGATAACTCTCCTCTAAAGCAAGCAGCTTACAGACATCAGTAAATCTCACCATGGTGGGGTTTCAGTGAGCAGAAAAAAAGCACTCAAGCTGCGAAGATGGTGTTAGAAGAGTTAGAAATGATATTAAAAACAAAGCGAACACAGAGAAAAGATGACACAGCAATGCCAGGAGGATGACAGGACAAGACAGGAGCTGTGAGGGGAAATAAAAWCCTGTGGCAATGTTCCAGTACCTGTCAGGAGCCAGAACCAGAGCCCGGCTCCGTCACCAGTCGATGTGCCTCGGAGGAGCCGAGGCTCGTGGAAACCTGTTCATTGTATCGTAGGTGGGGACGCTACCGGCACAGGAACAAAAATAACCACATTACCGGCCACCAACAGCAAATACACTTATTTCATCAGCTTTTTGTCAAAACCGCTGCCTCTGCCGAGAGACGGACAAGACAGAGAGCAAAAACAGCTTCATTCACGGCTCATTTCTTTCTAATACTTCTTTGTGCGTCTTTGTCTTTGAACAGTACAAATTTCACCCTGAAGATCTTCTCAACGGCCAATCAGTGAAAACACTTTTATAGATGCAAGATGAACTCCAGCCTGGTACTGGGTTCGCTGCTCTTTATGTTTTATTTACATTTTCATAAAAACCTCAGCCGTTCAAAATTTGTATTTTGGAATAAAAAGTTTCTTACGTCAAACAGAAGGTCAGTAATTAAAAACAACACTGCGTTTTCGAAGCTGCTACAGTAAAAACGCGGCCTGTAATTTCACCGTTTTGCTCTCTGCCTCTGGCTTCTGTTAAATCGGGCTGCTTGTTCAAACTCAGCTCCGTCCAAATGCAACTTAAAATCATAAAAAACATGCAGTTAGACTTTCGGTTAGGTTAGGAACAGAAATTTAAAGAAGCAGCATTTCTTTTTTCTTTCGTGTTTTTTTTTTTTTTTGTTAGCATCACACCAGTGCTTGCCTCTCTCTGAACACAACGATCAGGTGAACATTCACGGGGCTTCGGCTGACGCTGAACGACAGGAAACAAGCAAAAGTTTTTCATTCTGTGGCACGAGGCGGGCCGGTGTCACACAGCATGCAGTCGGGTTAGTGATCTGACAGAGTCGCCCCCAAAACCACAAAGCAGAACACGGACAACATGCCGGAGAGAGGTTGCGGTTGCTGTGAAGATTTACGGGCGCCACGGGTGCTACAGCAAGGGAGCAGACGTCTTAAATCAGGCTTTCGAAGAATCAAGTTGAGTCTGCCTGATGATTGAGAATTAACACCTTGATTTATGTGTGCTGAAATGAAGCTTAAGTTTTAAAAAAGACTAGATTTATAGTAGATATTTACAGATGGATGTTTTCTGTAGATAATTTTTTTCCATGGTTTTCTCGTGATAATGACAAACTGTAGCTGCGTTTCCATTGACCATGAAAATGCGCAAACTGGAATTTCGAAAATAAATTTGCTTAATGGAAACACGTCAATTAAAAAAAAAAAMTTGTTTTTCGACATAATGGTTTTGCGCTTGGATGAGGTTTTTCGGCCGTATCGAAATTGGTGTATTTCGCAAAACTGCAATGGAAACACTTTTTTCGCATCACTGGAGTCACATGATCAACAATCGGCTGTTTCTACTGGTGAAAAGACGACGAAACAGAAGACAACAGGAAGTATAAGTAGTAGTAAAATCACCGAAGTAGTAAAAGAAAGTAGTAAAATCCCCGACTACAATGTCCCAAAAACTCCACATACATAGCCACTCCCAAGTTTAAGGGGCTTGTCACTCGAAAGCCTCGATAAGACGCCGACGTCTCCTCTGACGGCTGATGAGAGCTAGTGTCGTGGTAGCAATATGCAATGTGTTTACATCCATTGCCGCCATGTTTGTAATGACTTATTGCGAAAACAAACGTATTCACGCGTGACTTCAATAGCATTTCTTACTTAATGGAAACATCACAATCGCGAAACTGTGTTTTTCGACATTAACAGAATATCGACAATGTTTTGTGCACATTTGCAATGGAAACACAGCTTATGTCTGATGAAGTTTACTATCATAACAGGCTGAGATTGTCTTGTACAGATAACTTTCATATCAGCCCTCGACATTTAAGGAGACGGCCCGACTGCAGCTCAACATGTTTACACTATGATCCTGCTGATATAATAAACTTTATTGGTGACCAGCTGAGGGGACCAGGCCGTCTCCATTGTTTACTGAATGATGAACAAGAGGGAAACCATAATTCAGGGCTAATCAACTAGCGGCCCGCGAGTGACCAAAATGCGGCCCGCCAATTGGTTCATTCATCTCTTAAGCCCAAACCTCCGTTTTTCTACTTTACTACAAGTTCTTTTAGTTAAACATAGACATGTTTGGTGTCTACAGAAACATCAGAATCATGGCTAGAAGCTGGTAAAAACCATTTCTATGCATATAAGACCATTAAAATTACAAGCAGTTGAAGATAAAACTATGAAAGTGAAAATAAAATTGGTTTAAAAAGTTAAATAGTTAAAACTATTTCAAAAGGTAACAGATCTCGTAATACTTGGTTTATTTACATGATGACTTGAATTGCTGAATGTTCGGCCCCTGAGCCGATGGTCTGTATTAACTGTGGCCCTGCCAATACTCGTTATTGCAAGAAAACAATTAGGAAATTTACTAGTTATCTTGAAAGAATCACTCATCTTTATTTTGTGGTAATGACATTGTATGTTGGTTTTCTCGTGAGAGCGACAAATTTAACTGGTTATCTCAAGAAAACGCTCATCGTTATTTCGTGATAACATAATATATCAGTTTTAGAGAAAACCATGGAAAAAATTATCTGCAGAAAACGTCTGCTCTCAACTTTCGCACATATTATTCTTGTTACATAGTACTATTTAAATCATATTTCAAATTTGAATTAACTCAATAGGATTTTTTTGGAAGTCAGGAATTTAGATGTAATTTATCTTTTATGTTCCATAAAAATGGAGCATTTGTTTAATCCAAAACTAACTGGTCACTGTGTGGATTGTTCATAAATTATACCGAAGTTTCAGAAACTAAACAGTAGATTGACCAACATACAGCGGGTAAAATAAGTATTGAACACGTCAACATTTTTCTCAGTAAATAGATTACTAGAGGTGCTAATGACATGAAATTTTCATAGCAGTATCAGAATTAAAGGTGGCATTTGCATTAGTGTATATTTACAGA